AAATAATTTTTTTTTTTTTTTTAAAGTGATAATTCAGCATATTCAGTGTTAGTACTGTTGCAGTTTAATTGAAAAGGTATAGCGTAACGTATACAGTATCATAATAATTGTATAATTATTGTCTCGTCTCTTTTACCGTACATTTCAATGACAATATTACGCGTACACCAGAATATTTAATATTCTGTTGTTCATGATGCCTAACCAATGTGAACTCCATACGTGCACTACTAAATAATGTGTATAGTTATAATAATAATAATTTTCATAATTATAATAACAATAATATGTACTCATATTGTTAAGAACGTATTGAAATAATTATTTTTGATATGTTATATGTAATTAACGTTATTGTCCGGTAGTAGACTCAAGGAGAGAAACTCGAAAATAAAATAGAGAGAGAAAAATATTTTTTTTCAGCGTTTAAATGAGGTCTAGTGAACTTAAAATTTTGCCTCTCGGCCCGTAAAACATATTTGTATCAATTCATTTTCTAACTCTTGGGTTCGGAGCAAGTTATTGATCACTGCAGAAAGTCACTGAACCGATGAGATTCCATTGGAACGGCGTCGTCGTCAGAGCGATTTCCACGTAGGCTTTGAGTGCTTACAGTGTTATATAATTCTCTGAATATTTCATCTCGTCCTAAATATCCTATTGACATTAATTTTGTTCCCACTACGCAGGATAAATGGATCCCCGTCGAAGACTATTATCGGTGATGTATTTATTTCTTCCGCGCAAAAGGCCCGGGAAAAATATAATATTAAATTCGGAAATTAAATATACACTATACACAAACCATATATAGTATTTTTTTGTCGGTTTAATGTTATTAAATATTTAATATGCTCCCGGAGAATTCATATTACGTTTTTAAATTATGTTGTCCTATAATGAAGAAATATAAGCGTACTTGCAGCATATACAGATACACCATCCAACAATCTACGAGTATATTTTATTTTTAAATATCAATCGCGATCTACTTAACCAAATTACATGCATATCGTTTAGAATTTGGTAATGGAAAAATATTTATAATTTTCAGAGAGAAAATGTTAACATTTTTCCATCCCGCCTGTACGCATAATTATTATGTTTTTATCGACTCGTGCATTTCTATTTATTTTGTACTCACAATTTAGTGTAAATTATTATTTTGCTCTTTCAAAAACTTGTAATGAAATTATATACAATAGAAATTAAAAATAAATAAAAAAATAAAATAATAATTATAAACTACCAACTAACTACACTTAACTCAGTGTTCTAATATATTGGATAATAATAATATAACAACAATACTATTTCTACGCCCAAAGAATAATAACTTCGATGATTTACGTTCTGCAATTATTATACCGAACTATACCGAAGGCCATGCGCTTAGCCACAATAACTACGCACCCATTATATTACGTACTACTATGCGACAACGCGACGTGTTGTTTGATTCTTATACTGGGTATATAATATGTAAATGATTTCTATAAAGTGTCATATATGCTAATTTATGATTTTTTTTCGATATTTTTTGCACCCTCTATTTATTTTGCTACCACTGTGTGTATGTGAATATAAATGTTCCAAGTGTTTTTGTCGAGTGTGATTTTTATGTCGTCTTAGGTTGTTTCATGTCTATGTTTAATTAATACAACGCTATTGAATATACGTGAATCGATGATCTTTGTAAAAAATCATTCGAGCTGCTGACGTTATGTATTTTTTATTTTAATCCTAAATGTTTCATTAACATGATTGTATATAATTTTGTTGTATTTTGTAATAATTATTTTTGTTTTTTTTTTTATTCTGCCTTGGTTATATAAATTAGAGTAATACAATTACAAATTACAATATCATGGTTACCACAGACCTGGAAAACCGGGAAAAGTCAGAAAATATATATCGAAAGAAAAACCGGGAAAAAAATGTAAATTTAATAAACACTATTGTGCATTTCTTATTTTGCTCAATAATTGAATTTTTTGATAAAAATTTGAAAATTCATGAAAAAATAAATAGTACTTGGTATTTTTATAGTCCTAAATGAAAAATAATATGTTAATCACCACTTGGTACTTTTAGTTAGAAGTCGGTTAGTATAATATATTACTATATTAATAGCGGTATAGTGTGTATATATATATATATATATATACGTAATATATCATATAGCAACTTATTTATGACCTAATGTTCCTATTATTACAATCATTTTGTCTTCAGCTCATTGCTTAAATATACACTATATTATGTAGGTATGTTCGATTCATATAAATAATTTTAATTTTATTAATAATTATTAATACTAATTTCAGTGTATTTAATTTTAAAATATATGTGTATTATTTAATGTGAAAGAAAGAAGTCGGTTGTTGTTGTATGGGTATGTAAGAATAGCTAAAACTACAACCTAAAAATAAATGCTATTGAATTATTTATAGCCGAACATTGATAAGACATAGATAAATAGATATTATTTGAATATTGTTATTTTCACGTAAAAAGAAAAATAGTCTACTTATAGATTATTTTTGTTGGTTTATGTTTATGGATTTTATTTTTTGAGCTGTTTTAAATCAAATTTATTAACTAATTTACTTATTTTGTATCATTTGTTTTACGGTGATGTTTTATTTGTCAATTTTCTATAATTTTTACGTTATTATTGTAATTCATCAATTATCGTAAACTCGTAAGTATATTTTTGATTAAAATATTAAGAATAAAAAAAAAAAAAAAATTATATAAATAATACATTTCTTTATTTCTGTACATCAGAGGTAATGTAACGAAAATCCAATTAATTATACCTGCGAATATATTATTACGAATTGACTGAAATCCGTTAAATGTTTTAATGCAAAATTAAATGTTGCTAAATACATGAAAGTTGTACATGAACCCTTGTATAATTTAAAAATTAAGAATAGTTTATTTTTCGTATTTTTGTCAATTACATTTAGGGATTATTTTCCCAAAATATCAATAGTTTTTCGAGGAGTAAGAAAAAATTTCTGTAAAAACGGTAAAAATGCACCGCAACTGAGACTTTCACTTTTCACATTTTAGTTATCCAGTATTTCAGTCATAACTACAAAAATAATAGGTCTAATCTAAGGTTGTACAACCTTAAATAATAAAATATAAAAAATATACGTAAAATATGTCTAATAACCATGTAAATCATTTTAATTATTTTTTAAATATTTTATGAGATAAATTTTTTTTTTTTAAAATAACATAAATGTAATCTATCTGGAGAACTTGGAAGAATCAGGAATTTTGAAATAAAAAATTTGTGGCTAGACTCAGTAGTGTTTTTCACAAGTTCAGTGATTCTTACCTGAAGTAATTTAAATTTTGTAATTTACCTATTCTAAAATTCCATAATTATTGAAATTTATATATACATTTACCTATTGCAAATCGCAACTAGCAAAAGTAATGTAAAATAGTAATTTTTTATTTAGACTTGTATCACATAAATATGGTTCCCACATAAGTAGTGAAATTAAGAACTGAAGGTTTAATTTTAACACTATCTCATTGTTTCTCAAAAATTGATTATTTATACAATATTTTGAGTATGAAAAATTGTGATTTTTTTTCTGGAAAACCTGGAAAAGTCAGGGAATTTTGAAATACAAAAAGAGTGGCAACCCTGAATATAAAAATATAAATACAAATTAAATATATAGATTATTGATGAACAATACAAGCGTGTTTAAGTAAATAAAGAAGCCAATATAATTTAGGAAGTTAATTATTGAGAAAATAATGGGAATGGAATGAATGTTAAGAAGAAGATTTGAGTTGCGGGTAATGATTATGTGTCGGTTATTTTTTCAATGTGTTTCGAACTCAAACGGTTTATACTAATCAAACGATTTCATGAAAACCTTTTACATTCTTAAGATACAATATATATATATATATATATATATGATAATCTTTAATAAGACCTGAAATTGTTTGTGAATTTACAAGTTCGATATTTATCTAAAAAAAAAAAAACGCGTCATTTTTGGATCACATAGGTATTACGTACAACAGAACAAATAATATTCTCCATAACATATTTGTGCCAAAACGTATGATTTTAATATTATTGTTGTAATTACTATTAAACATGAAACCTGATGGAATGCGTCACGTTTATTTATGTAATATATGAAGCACGATGGTAGTAGAACGAAATATCTGAGTCAGTGCTCAGAGAGTCTGTGTCCTCTCAGCGAGGGCGATATGGCCCCTGGTGGGCGGTGAAGGAGTACCGAGGAACGGTGAGTTCGTTTCGGCTGATGGGGGGGAGGGCGGTGAGCTCGTTTTGGGCGATTAGGTGGCTATGAACTTTTTTTCCGTTCAAAACAACGTACCAAGATTTATCTGTAATTGTTTTCCATTTATCAATTTCTAAAATAAATTCGTGATTACGAAATATAAACCACATATCGTACATCCATATCAAAACAGTAACAACTCAAAATGTTGGTTTTTAGTTAAACGTATATTCGGATTCTACAAACGAAATTACATAAATCAACAAAACAGGTTTATCTTTATCTTTAATATTCTCCGTCAGATGGCAATGTAAGAACATTTTATTGAATGAATGATACCAAGGTACCACCAATAAAACCGACATTCCTGAAAAAAGCGTTTTTTTTTTGAGTTGTTACTGTTTTGATATAGGTGTGCTATATATCAGAGGCAGTGCGTTATTATCTAATAACGAAGAAAAGAAATCGACTAGACATCGTCAAGAGGAGACTACGGCTTCATCTTACAAATTTTGAATCAAATGTAAAAAAATTGGCTTTGAATTACCAAACATTTCACTGATCAATACATTTCAAAACATTCAAATTATCCTTTTAAATTATATTTAAACATACATTTTACATTTTATTTTTATTATATTTACATTTATATCTATATTATTTATTATTCAATTATAAACATATCATGTATAATATACACTGGTTAACTTTATTCTAGGAGGGAAATATTTCATATTCGGTAGTTTAAGACCAAATAGAAAAAAATTAGAGGTTATGGATTCAAAAAAAATTAATTTCAGAAATAAGGGACACCCTAATGTATATCTACAATTTTATTTTTATTTTAATCAAGTGAAGGGGGGAGGGCATTGAAAAACATTTTGCTTCTTAGGGGGGTGACAGTTTGAAAAAGGTTGAGAAGCACTGATTTAAGTTTTCAAAACGTATTTTCTTTAAGTATACATTTCAACTTATTGTTTCTATAATTATTTAAATTTATAACGGGATCAAATGATCACCCACTTTCTGTTTGATGGATTCCGAGGCGTAACATCTGGTATGGTCGACAGTATTTTAGTCGCAAAGCTTGTCATCTAGCCAACTGCGGTCGGTTTAATTAAAACTGCTGACTGAATAAATAATACCACCAAAGGAGAGAACACACGATATCGTCGTATTATATGAACGACCATTTGTGTGCGAAATTTTTTTTCTTTTGACCTAAAAAATTAAACGTAATTAATCTGAATTCAACATATTCGTTATTGTTATTATACCACATTTGAGAGTGTGTGGCGTGTGTGCGAGTGACAGGTGAATCTCTGAAAGGAAACATCGCCAGTCATGACCACTTTTCTTGACTTTCAAGCTATCGACGAAATGTTTTTCCTTTAAACTACCATTTGCAATTATAAATGTATTGTATTACGAAATAATTCATTAGTAATCTCTCCTTTTCGCCCATTATGTGATAAATGACTTACAGTTAGTTTTCTATTTATGAAATCTAACATTTTCGTATAAATTACGTATTAAAACTAATTCCTTATATAGCTAAGAAAACGTGTGACGAGTTTGATGACTCACTATGCGATATTATTTTGCGTACAGAAGGGTCGGAAATACTAATTTTCAATATTTTATTAATTTTATTTACTTCTAATTATGTATGTGGAAAGTTCTTAACTCAATACAGTGATATAATAGCTTTGATAGTGTATCAATGCATAATATCAATATTGTTGTAAAATAATTTTCATAATTTTATTCTACACACACATATATATATATATATATATATATATATATATATATATATATATATGTGTGTAATTTATTCTAATACGCAAGATTACCTGTTATTAATTTTATAATTTATAATTTTAATATTAATTTATATAATCGATAGATTTGTCAAAAATAAAAATAAAATATAATTATTTATTAAATAGTTGAATTTAATATCTTATCTAATATAAACTTGGTTTGCAATTGAAATTTAAGTGCTGATTTATTACAGCATAGAAAAAAAAATGATGTATTTTTATGGAATTACCAACGATTAAAACTAAAATAACATGATGACAGTTGATAGTATTATAGAAATGACAACAAAATTTCACTATAAATAAATAACTGAATGTATGCTTATTTAATTTTATCACTTTAAAATAAAATTTAACTTTCATTTCTTTTTTATAATTTAACTCACATTAGTTTATGAATTTATTATTAATCTTTTAAATAATGTATGTATATAAATTAAATCTTCATCAACGGGAATACCACTCGGTAATTGATAACTTGCATCAATTGCACATTTGTTAATTGAACTGATCAATATGTTTTTGTGTAGAGAAGGATGTAGTAGAAATTGAAAATAGTTGTATAATCTTTTTTTTTTATTTCAGGTGACCGCTGACCCCACAAATGTATCGCCCCATTCTCCAGATGTGATCTACATCCGTCTCAGAGGTATAGTGTAAAGTATTTTGTATAATTATATATAATTAAATAATTATTGAATTATTAAAGACGTGTGCAACTTAGTTCGGGATTTGGCTAGTTATTTTTAATAATAGCTTTCTTATAGTAAATTTTGTTAACAAATAAAATTCTTAACCGTAGTCTAAATAGAATAATTTGACCAGCTTCATTAATATTTATTAAGACAATAACAATTATATTTCTGGTGATTGTATATATTTTCAATGCAAATTCTTTGGATTCTGAGTATAAGCACAAGTTATATATGTGCTAGTATTTTAAATTGATAGCAAGAAACAATTTGGTCAAAAATTAAATAGTAAAAATTTCTAGTGCCAATAATGTATTGAATTAATTTTTTTATTACTAGATGTTTGTTTTTTAAAATTAAAAATTATTGCTAACCTTAATCTTATGCAACAACAAAAGGTAATAATTTAAACACAATTTATTGAGTACTGTAATTGTTAAAATGCTTCTTCTATCTATGCGTTTTCCAAACTATAAGCCTTGTTTTTGAACTTGTCTTTGGATTGAAAATGTCCCTTTATTAAAGCTCGTAGAAAAACTTTTAAATAAAATCTTGAAAAAAAATAAGAAAAAGAAGAAAATGAAGAAAATTAATGTTAAAAAGTCTATTTCACCTCCCTCCACCACGACTCCAAAGCAATGATCGTTGTATACAAAGAAAACGATTTTCTAATAAGTTCGTTTTAATGTTTTTACCATGAAATTATTACTGTATTAATAACTGTAAAAAAATAATAATTTTCATGAATTGGATGCGCTTCATGAAATATACCATTTAGTAAAATTGACATTTTTCTACACTATATGGGAAATGTTTCGACTTTTTCATGAAGTAATTTAAAATAATTTTAGCCACATTTTGAAATTTTTATTTTAAAATTACCTTTTTGACCACTCATTTGCGTATATAGTTTTATCAATTTTTCCATAAATGTAATATTTCATTATATACGTATCAGACTAAACAGTGAAAGTATGTTCACATATTTGTCTAAAATCAGAATTCAGAAACTCAGAAATAGTTACTATTTTTGTGTTACATAATATTTGTCTTGCTTTTTGTGGATTAGAAAAAGCCGAAGAATTATATATTATATATATATAGTGTAAAATAACGTAAATGTCATGTAATAACTGAAAAAATGAATTACTCAATAATTAACTTTCTCCTTTTTTTAAGGGAGGGTTTTCGGAGTTACAAAGGAGCCAATTAGTTCAATTGAATAGTTTTGTAAGCTAAATAAAATAGCACTTACCTGTTTCATAACATATGAGCTAATGCATCGATGAGCCGACCACTTATGACTACTAAAGGAGTGAAGTGAGGTTGAAATCAACCAACACAGACAAAGTATTCAGAAAGCTGATGATAGACATTTTCCGTCACTCGCACAAGAAAATTCAAAACGTAAAGTGTAAACTAGAAGCTCCTCGGATGGTCCCGACGATCAGTGCGCACGTATGACCAAAAGTTTGATACGCACGCATTGATAGCCTATAGGCTAAAAGCGTGATCCACACCCTGATGACCTATAACTAATATGTCGGTACGCACGCACTGAAGGTCTCTGGCCAAGTAGCTGGGTAGAGGATTGTGAACTCATGTTATATAGGAAAGTATGGTGGGATGGACCTTGGACCGGTCCTTTGAAGGTTCGGCTTATTGGCGATAGGTTATACTCGTAGTTAGTTTAGGCTTTTATTATTTTAATCGTTTTGTCTGTGCCCGTATCGATAGAATCGTTATTTATTGGTTTTTGACATGATGTATAATCAATTAGTGTAAATTATTTATTAATTATTTAAAAAATGTATTTATGACATGAAATATAGTCGAATTATGTACATTATTACATTCATTAATGGATACGTTTCAAGTAGTGAACATCCACTTCTTGAAATGAGCGATTTTACTAAGTAGCTACCAAATGTATACGAATTTGCAGTACGAGTTTGGCCGTTATCTCGCGTGTTCAAGGACTGTATGACGTGTGTCATACCGCTTCACTATCAGGAGAAAATTAAATGCCAAAAAAGCAAAAACATGTACTCATATGATCGCCATAATCGTCCTAAATCATGTTTATCAGAATATGACAATTTTATTTCGCCAAACGAACTATACAGTGTCACGTTCCCTATTATTGTTGTATTTTATAACTGTTTTGTTATTAAAAAATAAAATTCACTATGTCTATCAATAAGTATACAGAGAATGTATTTTATTTAACGAAACTACAACTCTTATACAAAATATGCTAATGAATCCATTCGTGTTTAAGTGCATATGTATATTTATACTGTATCTAAATGTATGTGTAAATTATAATCACTGATCGCTTGAAACGTACCAAGGTTTACAGATCAGCTGATATGCAAATGCTGTTAAATAGTGATGCATATTATGATTATATCAGTCGTTTTCCGTGTCCTGAGTTATTACGCGTATAGACAAAACGAGAAAATAAACTACACGACTGACGTACGTGAAGTTGGCGGTCCACCCTTATTCATTGATTAACTTGGTACCTATACCAATTTTTTTTGTGAGTTATTTACGAGAATTTGCGAGTTAATTTTTAAAATTTGCGAGTAAGCCGTTTGCGAATTATAATTAAAAAATAGAAGGGTGGGCCAATTTCAAATAGCCCTTCCAAGTCGCCCTAGAATTTCATAATTGATACCAAACTATGCGCTTTTATTTGCGAGAATTTTCGAGTAAATTTTTAAAATTTGCGACTAAGCCGTAATAAATCATAAGTTACATACTCATAAGTCGTAAATCATAATATTTAGGTAGGTCAATTTATTATATAACAACAGTGGAAAATGTGAAGATGACTGTTCAAACATATTTAAAATTGCTTAATATTTGTATGATAATTTATTCTCTATTTAAATAAAGAATATTATTATTTTACTTTATAAATTTTATTAAAAAAGTAAAATAACAGGTAGGTGCAATGGTTTTTGGTATTTTTTTTAGAGCTATTTAAAAATCATAGTGTCTATATAAAATCACTTTTTATACGACCACAATATTAAAATTAAAATTGTATACGTTCATTTGATTAGCAATAATCAAGTATTCTCTATAATGTAAATAATATATTTTATCTTAAGAAAAATACTATGTAAAAATGTAATGTTAGGCTAATAATTCAAGTTGTTGAAGCCTTAAAAAAAATTAAAAAAATATATACATTTAGTAATTTAAATTAATAATTGTCTTTCTTTTTAAGATTCTGGGTGAAGCGAGAGATCTTATGGTTTTTATAATTAAATGTTTGTGGTATCTATTAATAATTACTATCGAAAATATTTTCAAGAACTACAGTTACAATCCTTTTCGTTATGTATAGTGCGGGTTATATGGAAGGGCTTGAATACAGCTGTCACGCCACGTCGTACTCATGCAATAGAAATTGTATTTATATACAAGTAATATAGCCTGTACTTTACTATGTACTACTATTGATTTTAGAATATACAAATAAGCGGTGATATAGGAAGATTCGCTGACTTTAATTTTGTTCTTGATAGAAGTCATTGTAATATTTACCACGAACATTTAATTTTTTTTCTATTCAACATTTTTTATTTTTATTAATTAGTACCTATATATATATTGAGATGTGGTCAGAATTGCAAAGTGTTTTAAACAATAATTTATTTTAAACGTTTTAAATATGACCTTTTATTTCAAACATTCAAAAATACATAAATGTTAAATACTTGCTTTTTTATAGACTTTTAAAACACAATTATTTCATATTTTCAAACATTTCAAAAGTATGTAACATATGTTACAGTATATTTGTTTTAGTATATACTAATAGTAAGTTACATTGTCAGAAAAATGTTTGATATACCATAGACTCAGTATAAGGTCTATGGGAGATACGATTTTTTTACGATAAATTTTCCGTTTTCTTATCAGTTATTCAATATTTAGGTTTAGTTGACCTTCGTATCATCATTTTCTATTAGTTGAGACTTTTTATAACTTTTTATATAAAACTGTTTTAAATCTAATATGTTGTATAGTAATTGAATATTAGATAGTTATATAAAACAATACCTTTCATCTGTTCTGTACTCTGGCTAAAAATCTGAGAGTAATATTCTCATTTAGAGAAAATATTTTTATAAACATAGTTTTAAATAAAATAAACGGTTTTAAATAATGTTTAAAACTTACGAATAAAATAATAATTAAAAACTGTTTAAAATATAAAAATCATTGTTTTAAACAAATAAAACGTATTTTATGTTTTTTTTTTTAAAAACTAATTTTTTTGCAACCCTGGTTGTGGTGACAAAAGATCTTACCTACAACCAGTTATTATTTTGTTTTTTTTTTTTTAAAATGGCCATTGAAATTCTAGGGCGAGTTGTGTGTGCTGACTTTACGGTAGGAAAATGGATGTTGCGGGTAAGAGGTGAAATCACAAATTTTGAAAATGGATTCGCAAATAAAAACGCATCGTTTTATATAAATTTTGAAAATCTAGGGCGACTTGGAGGGGCTACGTGAAGTTGGCCCATCCTTCTGTTTTTTAATTATAATTTGCAATTGACTTACTCGCAAATTCTGGTAAATAACTCGCAAAATATTGGTATACCTAGGTCTCAAATTAATCAGTGAAAAAGGGTGGGTCACCTTCACATACGTACACGACTGTCGTTAATATGAGCCGAATGCACATATGTAATTTAATTTGTTTTACTTTTCGACAAGTTTAAAACTACTTTTATATGGGATATTTTATGTATACCGTTTAACATTTCAATAAATATGATACATTTCTTTTAATCGATTTTAATTTCGCCTTAAATATTTTTTTTAGCATAAGGCTGATTATCTCACAGAATTTTATATTTTTGTATTATACTATTGATCACATTTTATATTTTACATTTTATATATTAATATTTATGATTTTATTTGTATTGGAAATTAATTTATGTAACGTATTGGGCCTTAATTTTTTTATATATTATTCTAAATATTATATCTAGAAAATCGTGTTTTAACTTTTTTTTACTCGATTTATTATACCTTGAATATTTTATACAAATAAATTTCTTAAATAATATACAAAATATGATGATCGTCATTAAAAATAAATACTAAGGTTAAATTAGCTCTGCTCCGAACAAGCGTACCATCATTGCTTTTAAATGTAATAAAAATATTTGCTTGCGCCCATAGGTGAACTAGTGGTCATAACTATAATCATATTATTTTTATATTTTTTCACATACAAATTATTTCTACTGAGAATTGGGAATGACCTTGTTGAATCTCTATGAGCGCAAAGCCAAGGGACGCTCTTTTCATACATGAAACTAATCTTTTCTAAGACTCTAAGTTCAGCTTTTTCTTATCGTATGTAATCATCATTTCCTATAACATCAGATTCGATCTCTATGTATAAACTAGCATTCGTCAATATTAAATTTGTTTTTGAAAACGCTTCGGCCTAAAACAATTTAGTTTTCACTCGAGGAATTTTTAAATAATATTTTTAAAATCTTATTTCTAATACTACCTTATTCAAAGACTATTAGAACATATTGAATATCTTCTTTTTGTATTGTGTTCATATACTTAAATATATGAAATATATACTGGAAGTTTGAAGATTTAATTTTAAATTTTTTTTTTTTAAATAAAAGTGTTAGGATAAGTTAAAATTTTACGTCCTATATAATCCTATATTTCAACGGAAAAAAGAAATATAAATAATATATCATGTTAGATGTAGGATAAATGCTCAATTTCATCATAGAAACACATGTAGTACGCATATGAGGTAAATTTTATTATTACAACGGCATTTGGGCCCTGCAAATTAATTATTTCGTTCGAATATATTGCATTAGTACATTCAAATAAAAAAATGTAATAAAACCCAAAGTTGAGGTTTAGTTGTTAAAAGTATATATGCCATTAATAGATGATTTTATGACAGAGTTACAAAACTCAATGATTTATGATATTATTATTTGCATTTAGTATTTACCATAGGTTATAACACGCTTAAATTGTTTATAATAAAATTCAATTTTTACTGTAACAGTGTTTAGTGTTTACGATTATGAACACAAAATAATTTTTACATAAATGACCGTATTAATAATTGTTGATACTGTTTAAACATTGATTGTTGTTTGACGGATTTACATATTTTCGTATGCTGTTCTCTACAGTCATAAATTGTTATTATTTGATAGGTCGATTTTCAGTATTTATGAATAAATATTGAAATAACGATCAAATATTAATTACGAACTGTATAGCATTTATTACTTCAGTGTATGATTCTTAATGACCAACAAAAATTAATTGAAATTAAAAAAGTACAAAATGAATTAAATTTTTTATATTAATAGGTTTACATGTAAAAAGTTAAAAACCTAAGAAATTATGTTGATAAATAATAGTAGAAATATAATGTTTACCTAACATTTGTGTACAATATTGGTTTTATTATAACAATACAAAAATAATTGTTCTAAAATGACGCACATTTACCAAGAAAAAAAGTCTTAAATGCTCACCTTGTACAAAATAATAAATGTTCGTATACTATAATAAATTTGTATATTATAATATATCTTTTACAAATTGCAAGTATTTTATAAGATATATATTCATCGTATATAAAATATTATTTCATATTTAGATGAACTATTTAGAATAAAACTATCATATTAATAAATGTTTGCATTTTATAGCAATCTAGTCGTATACTAATTAAAATTATTTAGACAAGACAACCCGATTATAGTTTTTTTCATATATGGCATCGTAAAAGTATCATTATTTTGAATTTTAAATTATAAACCTATTCAAACTTTTTTATAAAGTTGTATCTAAAGAAATTGACGAATGTTTTTGAAATAAATAATATTTTTGTGATGTTTCACAAACGTTCTACTTAGAATTAAGTATATATATATAAATATGTAATAGAGACATATCTTGGGACGTTTTTTTTTGATAAATGAATTGAAACATACACGATATTGTTTTTTTTTTTTTATATTTTTCAAGTGTGCAAGTTTCATTGATGGAAAGGATACTAAATCACCTAAAAATACATTAAAATGTCGTCATGCAATTTTTCAATCCAAAATTAAATTCACGGATCATTTAAATATTTCTACAATGTTTTATCTATGGATTATAACCGCATATTTTGATATCAATCCATCTGGTTTTATTTTTATATTATAATCACAGATATTTAAAAGTTTTATGCATTGAGTATTAATATAAGGAAACCTTTTTACCATACTTATAATATATTGTTGTTATTTTGAATGCTTTGATTCAAGGGTATTTCTTATTTTTAAAACTCTGTTGTTAATTATTTTATTATGACTGCCATATAAAAAAACATTAAAATAAACCTACAATAATAAAAAAATATTTATACTAGTAATAATTCATATTTCTTTATAGTAAACTAATAATGGGTTGTGAAAATAGATTACAAGAAAGACAATTATTTGTATACATCATTTTAATCTTAAAAAGCAAGACTATACCCAACCGAATGTTTTACATTCCGTGGTACTTGTACGTAGAATAATGTTAAAATTAAAAAATTAAGATGATTATTCATGTAGATATAAGGACTGAACAGGAGTGTGCTATATTGTGTGCATAGTGTTGGTTACTATATTACGGACGTATCGTGTTGTAGGAAGTATTGATGAAATATTGTGTTCAAAAAATTATTCTTATTAACAATTGATTTCTCGTACGTAATTACATTTAATAAATTTGGAAAGGCCATTAATAATTTTTTAACATGAAATT